GGGCCCTGCTTGGAGCGGGAAGGCTTCCGTCTCCCGGCCGCGCCGGGCTTCTTTCTGTTCCCCCGCGCACGGCGGCGTAATTCGCGTTTTGTGTGTCCCTTAATGCAACATCGCCAGAGCAGTAACTCTGCCTAGCCGCCGACGCAACGTGTGTGTGTGTGTGTGTGTGTGTGTGTGTGTGTGTGTGTATGTTTTTTTTTTTTGTGTGTGTGTGTGTGGGTGTGTCTGAGCGCGTGTGTGGTCGTGTGTGTGTGTGGTCGTGTGTGTGTGTGTGCGTGCGTGCGTGCGTGTGTGTGTGTGTGTGTGGTTGTGTGTGTGTGTGTGCGCGTGTGTGTGCGCGTGTGTGTGTGTGTGTGTGTGTGTGTGTGTGTGTGCGCGCGTGTGTGTGTGTGTGTGTGTGCGTCCCGCAGCGCCCTTCGGGCTTGCCGTCAGCCCTGTTTCCGCGGCCCCCCCCCTCTCCGTCCCAAGCGAGATCGCGCTGTTGCCGCTCTTCATCTGCATTCCGCAGCTCAGTGGTCGGCCAAATTCGAGTGACGCTGGGACTCTCTGGGTCGTGCACGTGCCCACAAAGTGTCCCTGCTTGGCGTTTCACGGTCGAGTGCAGCCCACTGGCGCCTCGGAGGAAACGAGTGTGTCTGTGTGTGGGTGTGTAGGGTGAGGGCAGCAGGGGAGAGCTTACTACATAATCGAACAAGATATTGCGAGGGTTTGGATAGCAAGAAGCCGTCGCCCCCCAGTATACTCTGGACCTTTTTTTTCGATTCGCTTCAAACCAACCCGCACAGATGCAGCGGGTGGGTCGATTCCGTATGGGGGGCGGTCCGATACAGATTACAACAAGGGGCGGCAAAAATGAACGAACGAGGTGGCGCGGTATGCAGCTCGGCCATGTCATTCTGCAAGGCCTCAGAGAGTGGCAGAAACGCTTGCAAGGATACGACATTCAATAACCGAGCTGGGGACCGTTTTGCGAGGGTTTTTGGTAGACGCAGGCTGGCTGCGCAATTGTTTCTCCATCTGCCTCCTCAACCTCCTTTTCCTAGTTCCCGGGATGAGGAGGAGAGGGAGGAAGTGAGGAGGAAAAGGAGGAGGAGGTGGAGGAGGAGAGGAGGAGGAGGAGGAGGAGGAGAAGGAGGAGGAGAAGGACGAGGAGGAGGTGGAGGAGGGGGAGGAGGAGGAGGAGGAGGAAGCGGAGGACGGGGGGACCGCGAATAAAAACCACCGTTTTTTTCATCGATGATCCCAAACATCCGTCAAACTGTGAGCTCCCAGATGCCGCGCGAGAGGTGGTCTGGCCCGTATCGCCTGAGACATCCTCCAAACTCTGAGCTCTGAGATGCCGTGCGCGAGGTGGTCCGGCTCGTTTCGCCTGAGACATCCTCGCAACTCTCAGGTCTGAGATGCCGCGCAAGAGGTGGTCCAGCCCATTTCGCTTGAGACATCCTCGAAATTCTGGGCTCCGAGATGCCGCGCAAGAGGTGGTCCGGCCCGTTTCGCCTGAGACATTCTCCAAACTCTGAGCCCTGATATGCCGTGCGCAAGGTGGTCTGGCCCATTTTGCCTGAGACATCATCGCAGCTCTGCGTTCTCTGATGCCGCGCGAGAGGTGGTCCGGCCTGTTTCGCTTGAGACATCCTCCAAACTTTGAGCCCCGAGATGCCGCCCAAGAGGTGGTCCAGCCCATTTCGCTTGAGACATCCTCGCACTTTTGCATTCCGAGATGCCGCGCAAGAGGTGGTCCGGCCCGTTTCGTTTGAGACGTCCTCGAAACTCTGAGCTCTGAGATGTCTCGCGCGAGGTGGTCTGGCCCGTTTCGCCTGAGACATCTTCGAAACTCTGAGCTCTGAGCTGCCGCGCAAGAGGTGGTCCAGCCCAGTTCGCCTGAGAAATCCTCGCAACTCTGACCTCGGAGATGCCGCGCGCGACGTGGTCCAGCCCGTTTCGCCTGAGACATCCTCGCAACTCTGAGCTCTGAGATGCCCTGCTCGAGGTGGTCCGGCCCGTCTCGCCTGAGACATCCTCGCAACTCTGAGCTCTGAGATGCCGTGCGCAAGGTGGTCCGGCCCGCTTCGCGCAAGACATTCTCGCAACTCTGAGCTCCCAGATGCCGCGCAAGAGGTGGTCCAGCCTGGGGGCCGAGAAGACCACATGTTACATATCCCCCCTGCGACCCTGGGAGCCCCAGGAGGCCCCAGAGCTTCAGGAGGCTGCAGACCGCCCAGGACAGGCCCCATGGGTCCCCAGGAGATTCCCAGGAGGCTCCCAGGAGGCCCCAGGAGGCCCCCTATCAGAACGTGTCAAGTTAGTGCGCATCCGGTGCTGATTCGTTGATTTTTCCTGCTCTTGTGGCCCTCCCATTTTGGGGGGCCCAGACGGCCACATGTTAGATATCCCCCCCTGGGAGCCCCAAGAGGCTTGAGAGAGCCCCAGGTGGGGTCCAGGAGGCCACATGATGCCCAGGAGGAAGCCCCAGGAGGTCCCCTGGAGGCCCCAGGAGGCCCCGGAGCTCTGAGACGCCGCGCTCGAGGTGGTCCGGCCCGTTTCGCCTGAGACTTCCTCGCAGCACGTTTCGCCCGAGACATCGTCGCAACTCTGGGGTCCGAGATGCCGCGCGCGAGGTGGTCCATCCTGTTACGCTGGAGACATCCTCGCAACTCTGGGCTTCGAGATGCCGTTCAGGATGAAGAGGTGGAGGAGGAGGAGAAGGAGGAGGAGATGGAAGGGATAAGGAGGAGGATGATGTGGATGAAGGAGCAGGCAGGAGGAGGGGGAGGAGGTCGAGGAGGAGTAGGGAGAAGGAAGGGAGCTGCAGGAGAGGACCTAACGGGAAAGGAAGGGAGTTGCAGGAGAGGCCCTAACGGGAAAGGAGAGCAGTTGCAGGAGAGTTGCAGGAAGGGAGTTACAGGAAGGGTGTAAACATCTCATGTGCAAACATCATGTTATCATGTTCTAACATGCCATGCCAGCCCGCACTGAGTGGACGGGCACGCAATCGACCTTGGAAACCGCAGTGGGGTTAAAAACCCTGTTTGGGGATACTGCACTCCGGCTATAATTTGATCGATGATCCCAAGAGGGCCTCCAAGGCGTCCAAGAGGGCCCCAAGGTAGCCCCCAAGAAGGCCCCACCAGCGCCCCAGGAGGGCCCAAGAGGCCTCCAAGGTAGCTCCAAGAGTGGCCCGAGTGCCTCCAAGAGGGCCCATAGAGCGCACCAAGAGCCCGAGAGGGCCCCAATCTAGTTTCAGCAGGGGTCCAGAGGCGTCCCACATGGCCCCAAGAGGGCCCCGCGATGGCCCTCACAGGCCTCCAAGGCGCTCCCAGAGCGAAAGATCTGCAAAGACCTTGTCGGTTGGCTCCTGTCATCGCCGTCGCCGTCGTCACCTCGTCAATTTTTTAGGCGTCGTCGTCGTGTCCTTCTTCCTCCCCTATCCTCTTCTTCCTGCTTCTCATCCTTCTCCACCCTCCTGCTCCGCCTTCTCCTCCTGCTCCTCCTACTCCTTCCCTCCCTCCCTCCCTCCCTCCCTCCCTCCCTCTCTCCCTTCCCCTTTCTGTTCCTCATCCGCTTTTTCATCCGTCCTCCTCCGCTTTCCAAAAGTAACGGTGGCCCCTCTTTGTTATGCTGCATGCTGCTACACTTCCCTGATCAAGGCAACTCGCCTGGGCATCGTCTCTGCAACTACCTCCTCCGACCTTCTCCTGCCTCCCCCATAACTCCTCTTCCCTCCACCCAAATCTTCCTATCTCCTCCTACCTTCCTCTTCCTCCTCCTATATACTTCTACCTTCTCCTGCCTTCTGCCTCCTCCTGCCTGCTCCTGTCTCTCCCTACTTCCACCCACCAATTACGTTTTCTACTCCTCCTCATATCTCCTCCTACCTCCTCTCACATCCTGCTACAACCTCGCTTGCCAGAGCGTGTGGCGCACTGGTGACCCGCGCGGGCCACCGGTGCGCCTTCTGCTGCCTTCCAAAGCTGTCGTCGTGCATGCCTCTCTCCGTATTCTGTCTGTATCAGGACCAGCTCTGGACCGATATGGCAGTGCGTTGCGTGGATCCTCTTGTGGACCTCTGGGGACGCGCCAGTTACGGGGAAGGAGTGAGGAGCGCTGGAGTAGGTAGGGTGGATGAGGAGAATGAGAAGGCTGCACAGGAAGAGGAATAACATGATGGAGGAACAAGAAAACGACGACGAAGAAGAAAACGAAGACGCCGCAGGCTTCCCTTACTCCCTCCGATCTCTCGCAAGCTCCTCCTCCTCCCTCTTCCTACCTCCTCATACTCTCGCACGTTTCCCCTTCCTTCTGCTGGCCTTTAACATTCTCTACCTTGTCTGCATGATTCTCTTCATCCTCATCCATCTTCTCTCTGACACTCGGCCCATCCAAGACACGCAAAGACGGATGCAGTTCTCTGCTGGGGCGCATGTTGCAACGCATTCCTGATCAGGGCAACTCGACTGGTGTCTGTTGTTGGATGAACTGGTGGGGATACGCGAAGCGTCAATCATTGCCACTTGCCAAGTCACTGGTCTCAGTGCTTTGCAAGTGCTTTAGCTGCGTGGTTGCAGGTACTGAGTCTCGTGCTCTGGGCTGCAACTCCTGGGAGGTTGAACTCAGCATCGGCGCTGGTGTCTCGTTCAGGCGTGTTCCGGCCGAGCCCCGCGCAATCCAGTTCGGTCAGTTCGTGGGCGGAAAAGAGGGGGGTGATGACTAGGGGGGTGGATATCATGGCGGGGGTCATGATATTTCCCCAGATTTCATGGCGCCGCTTCTCATGTCATTACGCCCCTGGCCCCCCCGCTGGGCCGCGCACGTGCCGCCGGCCGTGATTTGCACCCTCGCACACCCCCCTCTTGGCCTCTCCCGATCAGTTTCGCCTCCAGGCTTCGTCGGGCCTGCTCCCACACGTCGGGCTTCAGAGTCCTCGGCCCTTCCCGCGAAGACCTCCCGGGAGCCGCCTCTCAACACACACTGCGGGCCCTCGCGCGGCCTCCCCTCCCCAGGCGGACGGCGTGCCGTTCCCGACCGACGGCAGGTTCGACATCCGCTGGGCTCGCGCCTCCCCTGCGGCTGGAGCCCCTGTCATCGAGAGCAGAAGGACCCCTAAACTCTGGCAGCACGGTGAAGACGTGGCCTCACTGAGGTGCCCATCTTCGCATTAGGGATGGTAAGTGTCGCAGGCCTAGAGATTGACACCAACACCAATTTCGACGGTTTGCCTCCACCGAGGGAAGAAGATCCCGATCTCGGCGATGGTGGTAATATTCTGGCTTCCAAGGTGGCCGAACTATTACCACTAACACCGAAAATCTAGGATCACCTTCCCCCTGTGGAGGCAACCCCCTGTCTTGGTGTTGGTGCCAATTTCCAGGCCTCCGAAAGTGCGGGTGGCTTGGTCCGAGACGCCTGCAGGAAAGGCCCCCTATGTCCCTGTTGCTTTTGGTCCTCCTGGCTCAGGTCCTCTCCCAAAGGACTGGTGGGTACTTTTATTCAGGGCTTGGCCTAAGCGGTGTTTTTGGGTGATTTCGTGTGCCGTTTTCGTCTCGACTTCGTTTTGCGGCAAAGGGGGACTCGAGACAAAAGCGAGGGAGAACGAAAGCAAAACGACAACGGAAAAAACCGTTTGGGCTCAGCCCTGCTTTTGCTGCGCATCGCCCCGGGAGGAGGGCGCAGCGGAGGCAGCCGCCGAAGCGAACCCGTCGGCGCGTAGGCGTCGACGTTCGGAGGCCCGCGCGGGCTTCTCCGATCCGCGCTGGGCTCCCCCGGCGGAGCCTCGGCGCCTCGGAGGCGACGACAGGGGCGAATAGCCCAGGGGAGCAATACATGTACAGTCGGGGCCCTGAAGAAGGAACCCGTTTCGTTGGGGAGGGGCTCCGCGTTCCTTAAGTGTTTCGCAGCTTGCCTCAGGTTTTCCTTATGTTTTCGATCGGAAATCGAAGTTTAACTCATGGAAAAAAGGGGACTCGTTCCTTATTTTGGGTTCCTTAGGTCAAGGCCCCGACTGTGTTCAGGTGCGCCGATGATCTACGTCTTCGAAGAGGCTCCCGGGCGAAGACGTGTACTGCCCGCCCCTGGGCCATGCGCCCCCGTCGTCGCCGCGGGGAGGGGGTCCAGCGCGGATCCAAAAGAGCTCTGCGCGGGCCTCCGGAAGTGTGAGCCTGCACAGCTCGAGCAAACACGCCATGCACGTAAACTGTTGGCGCTCCGCGCGGATTTCTTGGATCCGCGCTGGGCCCCCCCAGCGGCGCCTCCGGCGCCGCCCCTGGCGCGCTCCGCGCGCCAGGGGGGGGGGTCCAGAGCAGATCCAAGAAACCCGCGCGGAGCGCCAAACGTTTATGATTATGGCGTGTTTTTTTCTTTTGTTCATGTTTTTTGGCATCATGGTTGACAGGGGGCGTCACTTTGAAGCGGCGATCGTGAGAGCGAAGCTCGCTGGACTACTACCACTAGGCCTTGCGTCCGTTTGGCCGCGTGGGCGGACACGCCAATTGCATGCAAGAGCGCGGGAGAGCTGACACGCCAAACACGTGCTAGGGAAAACTCGAGACACGCCCAAATACGTGCCTGCAGAGGAGGGAGGGAATCTGAGGAGGACGCCGAAGAGAAGATGACAATGCTGCGATAAACGCAGCTCCCAAGAGTTTACTCGTGCTCTGCCCTTCCAGGAAGGCCCTGGGCAAGCCCAGAGCCCTGAGAGCCCCCTCCTCCGTGGTCTGCTCAGGGTCTCCCTCCTCCCGACGGGTCCCCCGCCTGCGGTTCGAAGACAGCTGCGCCCCACGCCTCGCGCCTCGCGGTCTGGGCCGGAGAGCCGCCCTGTTCCTGCGCCGAGCGCCGCGAGGGCGCCCGGGCGCGAGGGTAGCCGCGCCTCGCGGGGCGCCGAGGCGCGAGGCCAGGCGACCCAGCCAAGCGAGCAGGGCGGCCGCAGCCAAGGCTGCGATCCGCCCGCCGTGCTCTCGAGCGCGGGGGCGACGTGTCTCGAGCAGGCGCGCCCCACGTCGTGGATTTCGGGTCCGTGCGGCTGGGTCGCGAGGCTGGTCAGGCCCACGCAGCCATCAGCCGCCCTGCGGGGTGTACATTGGCGGCGAGCAGAAGGGGGTAGGGGGAGGGGGGAAGGCTTCTTAGAAGGAGGCTGTCTCTTAGAAGGCGCCGGCCTTACAACTACAGAGAAGGCCTGCACCTTCTAAGAAGCAGGGGTGCTTCTAAGAAGCCTTCCCCCTCCCCCCCCTCTGCGCGCCGCCAATGTACACTACGACCGCATACACCAGTGCCTTCCCAAGGGCCTCGCATACCTCTGCGGCACAGGGGTGGGTTTGGCCTGTCATCTTCGAGGGTGTTGTCAGTCCCCGAGCGCGACTGATTCAATGTGATCCGACGAGTGCGCTTCCGATGTCCCACGGAATTTGGCGGTGCAGATCCCAGCCCGCGAGACGCAGGAGATTTCGTCGTTTACCCCCGTCCCTCGCCCCACGCGCCTCTCTCACGCCGAAGCGCGACGCGACTCGAGAGAGGTCACGCATCGGTGGCAGTTTGGCGCAGGCTCTGCGCCTGGACACTGAAGCAGTCCGACTGATCAATGTGACGTGCAGCGCGAGTGCAGAGCGGGGGCGGAGGGGAGCGGTGACACTGCGTAACCACAACTGAGTCAAGATTACGCGTCTGACGGGCATTACGGTGCAGAACAGTTCCACGGTGTTCATTCAGGAGTGGCCGAGCTTCACGTCCCAGAGACACACTTCAGACACGAGCAAGCGTGCGTCGGGCGAGGCAGAGGCGCAAGCCTCCGTTGCTCGACGTGTACCGAAAGCATTGTGACACGTCGGCTCATTGGCCCAGCCGAAAGAAAAACAAGGCCGAGGGCCTCGAGACAACAAAAGGTTGGGAAGAAGTTTAGTACAAACACATCGCCCACGAAGTATTTTACGCAGCCTCGCCCCAACTGTTGTCTCACAAGAGCGTTTTGGGGTGACCCGTACCCCGTTTTTTGATGCTCGCAAGTTTCAGCCTGTCGCACAGTAGTGTTCGCGTGCTTGCCTCGGGCGAGGCGGAGGCATAGGCCTCCGTCGCTCGATGTGCGCGCGTCGGGCGAGGTGGAGGCACAAACCTCCGTCGCTCGACGTCTGCCCAGGGCACTGTGACACATCGGTTCATTGGTCCAGCCGAAAGAAAAACAAGGCCAGGGGCCTGAAGGCAAGGAAGGCGGGGAAAAGGTTTAGTAACATACGTTTGTCTTCTCGCTGCTTCCCCCGCTCGCTCGCCCCCTCCCTGAAGGACCGCCGAATGCTGTGAGGCAAAGCGCTTCGCCAGGGGTCAATCTATGTCCAGTCAAGAGGGCCTAACCTCTCCAGCCGTCCGGGTGACGACGCTCTCCTGCCCCAAGCACGAGGTGTTGTTTAGGGCCGGGCCCCTGGCTTGAGCATCTCGGGTCGGACGAAAGGGGAGCCAGGGAACAGGTGGGTCGCGGAATCCGCTGCGTGCAGGTGGGTGGTTCCGGCTCCCCTGCCAGGCATTTTCCTCGATGCGTTGGCGCCGCCGGCTCTGGCGCTGGGGGGCGCCAGGGAAACCAGCTGGGCGAGCCGATTCGCTAACCCCCTCTTTGTGCCGTCCCTTGAACGAAGGATTGCAACAAAAACGAAGGATTGCAACAAAACCCAAGGATTGCAAAAAAAAACCCATCGCTTTTTGCAATCCTTTTTGCAATCCATCGCTTTTTCGTCCGCGGCATCGCTTCTGGATGCGCTTCCGCCTCGCCGCGGCTCACGCGCGCGTGCTCTCCCGATCTCCGGGGCGGCGGGTCGTGCGCCGGCTTGGGCGGCGCGCGCGCGCGCCCCGCGGAGTGACCGACTGGCCGAAACGGATGCGCATGGGGTAGGGACTGGAGCGGGGTGAGGATGGTTAGGATGAGTGATGAGGATGAGGAGGGGGCATGGAAGAAGAGGAAGAGGAGGAGGAGGAGGAGGAGGAGATGGAGGAGGAACAGGACGACCGCTACGATCGTAGCCGTCGAAGTCCGCCCAACGTCAAAATGGAGGGAAATTATGATGATGATGATGATGATGATGATGATGATGATGATGATGATGATGATGATGATGATGATGATGATGATGATGATGATGATGATGATGATGATGATGATGATGATGATGATGATGATGATGATGATGATGATGATGATGATGATGATGATGATGATGATGATGATGATGATGATGATGATGATGATGATGATGATGATGATGATGATGATGATGATGATGTGTGTGGTGGTGGTGGTGGTGGTGATGGTGGTGGTGGTGGTGGTGGTGGTGATGATGATGATGATGACGACGATGATGATGATGATGATGGTGGTGGTGATGATGATGATGATGATGATGATGATGATGATGATGCTGATGATGATGATGATGATGATGATGATGATGATGATGATGATGATGATGATGATGATGATGACGAGGAGGAGGAGGGGAGGAGGAGGAGAGGAGGGGAGGAGGAGGAGGAGGAGGGAGGGGGAGGAGGAAGAGGAGGAGGAGGAGGAGGAGGAGGAGTAAGAGGAGGAGGAGGAGGAGGAGGAGGATGAGGAGGAGGAGGAGGAGGAGGAGGAGGAGGAGGAGGACAAGGAGGGGAGGAAAGAGGAGGAGGAGGAGGAGGAGGAGGAGGAGGAGGAGGAGGAGGAGGAGGAGGAGGAGGAGGAGAATTAAGCTAGCCAGCTCGGACGAGTCAGCGGGTCCCTCCCGCGCCCACCCGCCAATTGCTGGCACAATTTGATGTCGAGACTGGCGCGCTCGCCCGCCTGGCGAACGGCAGGCGCTCCCGCCCGCGCGGCCCCGCCTCAGACGACATGGCAAAAGAATTCCACGGGCCGTGCACAGGCGACAGCAGAACTCGAACACCGATGTATGGGCTTATGATGCTCCAACCTACTTTAGCCTTGATCACCAGAAATAAGTTCGAGCGCCAAACAAAGTACCGACACTCGAGGGTTTTCACGTGTCGGGCCCTAGGAGACACTCGCCCGACACTTTTTCGACACTACTTCGACACTCTTTTGACACTTTTCCGGGTGCTCGAAATTATTTCTGGGATGTGGTCCTTAAGTAGGATGGGAAAATCATAAGTATTGACATAGTATCGGCGTTCCCCCCAGTATCGGCGCCCCCCCGACATAGTATGGGCGTCCCCCCCGTACACCGTTCGGAAAACGATGTACTACAGGATGGGTGTACTGTATGTTCGGGTCGGACGCGCGCCTCCAAGGAGGACATATAGTATTAGTATGTCTCTGTGCGTCCCATAGTAGCATCCAAACCGACAGTGGAGCAACAACGATTACCTGTTGGAAAAGGGATACTTCAGACTGAGGCTGGGGAGGGGATGGAGAAGGACGAGCAGAGTTCTCCCCAGACGGCTTCCGAAAGCGTCAGACTGGCCAAGAGCGCCCCAGAGGAACCCGAGGGAACCGTCGACCAGGGCCCCCAGGACGCTTCAAGATGGCCCGAGACGGCCCAAGATGGTTTCAAGACGGCCCTCGAGCCCCAAGAGGCCCCTAAGAGGCTCCCGAGAGGCCTCCTTAAGCCCCCCAGGAAGCCCACATCCTTAAAAAAACCTATGGGAAGCCGTGGGTTTCTGAAGACCCCGCCTTCTGTCTTCTGATGTGCCGCTGAGGCCTCAGCATGGTCCAGCGGCGGCTCCACGGGAGCCCGAGAGCAGGAGAAGACGCAGGGGGCAGGCGAGAAGAGCGCGAAGGGGGGGGGGACGGCGGGCTGAAGGGAGGAGCCGGAGGGAGGAGGAGGCAGGGATGAGAGGAGACGGAGCGCAGATTTGGGGAGGGCGAGCAACGGGAGGAGTGCGAAGCATACATCTGGCGGTTCGAAGCGTCTGCAAGACAGACGTGGCGATGCGCACCCATTGTGTCGAGACGTTGAGTCAGTGCTGCGCTAGAACCCAAGCGCGCGCGAAGCGCACGCGCGTGGTTAAACAGAATGGGTTCCTTCCCCGTTCCGTGGACTTGGCTCCCGCACGCCATACCCACGGATCCGCAGTCCATATCAGCGCAGCGCGCGCACGGATGGGGCGCCAGCGCGAGCGAGAGCCAGGTCTGGGTGCAGCGGGTGTTGGAGTACCTCACCGACGACGACGTCGTCGCGGTGCTCCGACACTGCCGAGACGCCGTCTCTGGCGGTGGTATCCCAGGGGGGTCCAGCCGAGGAGGGCGAAACCGCAGCCACTCAGCTGGGCCAGCGCTATTTCCCACCGGGACCTTTCTCCCCCCTCCCTTTCCTCAACAGAGGGATATCTGCCGATACTGATACCTTGCCCTCGTCGTCATGGTTGGATTCGCTTCGACATCCGGGTCAGAGTGCACCCCTGCAGAGGTTTGGGGACTAGCGGTGTCCGGACCCTTTTGCTCCCCACTCTTCAGAAGGACTCAACTCTCCCCTTCTCTTTCCCTCGGGGCATCGACAAGGGGGGGAGGGCTCCGTCTCCCATTTATCGCCAAACGGCGCCCGATAGCTCACCCCGCCCAGGAACGTGCGGTCTCTCGATCGAGAGCCTATCACCGATCTAACAGCGATGTATCGCTGGTCGCGGTCCGATGCTCCGCCCCCTGGGTTAGTCCCCCCTATCGTTCCACCTCGTTCCTCCCTGGGCACTCCGCCTTCCCCTCTCCGTGCCCGGTCCCCTCGCCTCCCCCCGTGCTCCAGCCCTTCTACCTCCCCCCCCTCCTCCTCCTCCTCCTCCTCCTCCTCCTCCTCCTCCTCCTCCTCCTCCTCCTCCTCCTCCTCCTCCTCCTCCTCCTCCCCCTTTTCCTCCAACCCCTGTAACAGGCTGCGACTTCGGGTGCGCCCGAAGCAATGGGCGTCCCCCACTGGCAGTTCCTCTTCGTATGCATGACTTGCCGGAGGAACTGTTCCATGGCGGCCCGACTCGCACGGTTCAATGGCGGCCCGACTCGCAGACCTGGCAGTTTTGGTCAGTGATGCTCCCTCGCCTTCCTCCAGGGCTCATGTCGACTCCGCTCGATTCGATTCGATTTCGATCGGTTCCGACTCCGACTCGATCCGACTTTCGATTCCGATTTGGATTTCGGTTTCTCGATGGTGGCCTTATTAGCCCGCCGATTTCCTCCTGTTCGACTTCTCCCGACTTGGCTGCGCCAATTTCCGCCGACCCGATTCGTTCTGATCGCCGATCCGACTTCTCGATTCGATTCTGGGCTCTCCTGCCAGGGGTTCGACTCGGAGGCCAACGAGCATACACCGACACCGAACTCGTGGGGCTGGAACAGCCTTTTCTCACATGGCGATCCATGGATGAGTGGCACCCAGCCCACGACAAGAACAAAGAAACAGGAGTGGGGCGAGGCCGCCTCGAGGAAGAAGATGATGATGATGATGATGATGAGGAGGAGGAGGAGCAGGAGGAGGAGGAGGAGGACGAGGTGGCGGAGGACGAGGACGAGGACGAGGACGAGGAAAAGAAAAAAGAAACAGGAGGAGGAAGGGACGATGTAGACGACGGGGAGCAACACGTGCACCACCTCGGCAACGCGCCGATCGACGTGTTGCCTTCCCCGGGCCAGCCCGAGCACCCAGCCCGTCGTGGCGCCTGGTCCCTGGGGTGCGTTCCGCTGTGGCCTGCTCTGGCGGGGTCCCGTGCTCCCTCGCCACTCCCCAACGCATTTTCTTTGGGGTCGGGGGCAAAGGGTGAAATCTGAAATGCCGTCTCGATTGATTTTCGAGGTCTGAATCTGCAAGAGGTGAATCACGGGACGGATTTATCTCGAGGTGCAAAGCCCACACGAATTTCACCCTGGGCCCTCCACCCTGAGAAAATGCTCAGACTCCCCCCCCCTCCTCGTGGCGCCACTCTGGGCGTGGACAGGGCGGCAAGCCGCGACCAGACCGATGCCGAGGGCGCTGCCTCCTCGACCTTCGATCCTCGACCCTCGATCCTCGCTCCCCGACCCTCCGATGCCGATGCCGAGGCCGATGCCTCCCGATCCTCGAGGAGGCGGTACCGAGGAGAGGAGATCGATACTCCAGATTTTGTAACAAAGGGAGGGGGGTCTCATTTCGGGGGGGTCTCTTCCAGGCTATCTTGGAGGGCCTGGGGGGTCTGGAGACGATGTTTTGGAGGGTTCTCCCACGGGGGAGGTCTGAAATGGCTTGTCTTGGAGGGTCCAGACCCCCTCCCTTTTATTACGAAATCTGGAGTAGTTACCGAGGCCGATGCCTCCCCCTCCCCGCCCCTCTGCCGCTCGCTCCCCGCCCTGGGGGGCAGCCCCGGGGCCCAGGGCTAACTCGGGGCCATTCTGGGCCCTCTTGGAGCCCGTGTTTTGTCTCCTGGCGATGGCGGGCTGTCCTCTCTGTGCTCTTCTTCTCCCTGCTCGATGTGTCTGTCATAGCCTTTTTAGGCTGTCAGCCCGTCATGGACGGGCCCAGATGATTTGGGCACTGTTGAGGCGCTCGCACAGAAAAGAGATATGTCCATCCCTCTCTTGCCTTCACAAACGATGGTAGCTGGATCGTGGTGCCCGACCAGGGCAGGCGTTTTTTCTCGATGCGCGCGCTTCGACGACATCAATGACGCTGGTGTCCACGACAGACGGGGCAGCCGGCCAGGAGCCGGCAGAGCAGCAAGAACAGGATGCAGAAACAGTAGAGCAGGAGGTGTGAAGTGATGAGGCATGGTGGTGGTGGCAGCAAGCATGGTCGTGGGGTACACCGCCATGGAATTCATCTGATTGGAGCACAACATGGAATGGATCTACCGAGAGAAGCAGAACTTGTCCGTGCCGCTGCCCGCCCTCGGACTCGAGAATTTGGACACCTACCTACATGATCTGATTTCCTGGACAAAGAGGACAGGGATTCGGCTTGATATCCAAACATTGAAGATTTTGAGGGATTTCCAGTAGAGCTCCAGGGGAAGTTTCGGGGTGTTCGTGGCCATTTGGATGCAAAGGATGGAATCACCGTGCTGATACGATATCTCCGTTGACTGAACGGCGATCGACCAGGCGACCGCGAACAGAAATCCCAGAGTGCCGCCTTTTTTTAGCTTCAATATCAAGCGTGGCGAGAGTCTCACAGAGTTCGTTGTCAGAGGGGGATTTCATATTTCTCTAGCGGAATCATTCGGCCTTTCTCTTCCGACGATGTCAAAACCAGATACTACGAAGGAGGGTCACAGTTGACAGGGCAGTTGCGTGTCAATCTCAGGACCCTCATGGCGGGTGACCGCACAGGCCAGTCAGTCAGGAGATCGTTGATGCAGCTGGGCGTGACAGACAAGAGTGTGCCCCCAAAAGTGTCTCAGCCCTCCGCCAAGACCTTCGCAGCCACCGAGGAACCAGACGACGACGACATCAGCCGGTCAGGACATATTTTTGACTGTGACTTTTTTCTCGAAAAGGTCGCCACATTTCCAACGTTTCTCGAAGCTCAGGAACTATATGCGGACGAGGCCTTCGATGTGTTTGCGGAATTGGCAGATTCGACACGACGACGAACGTAGGAGGAGGCCAAGCAGTTGAAGGCAGCGCGTGCGGTTGACCACGATTTTTTGACCGCGAGCGAGCCTCCTCGTCATCCTCCTCAGCCCAGCCGGGCTTCCGCAATATTTCCAAGTATGGCATCAAGAAGCGAGCCAGCTGTACGAACTGCGGGGGGCAGGGTCATTGGAGAGAGGATTGCAGGAAACCGTGCAGATCAAAACCAGATCGTTTGGAGTCGGAGAAGAATGGTCCTTCCCTCGAGGCAGATGACTTCTATTTCTTTTTCGATGCCTTCGGACGGAACATCAGCACCGTCATAGGCCACGTTCCGAGCGCAGACGTTAGATGGGGATGTGCAGTTTTTAAGAGCCCACGTGGGAGACGCGGGGGATCGCGGGCTGGTGGGCACGGCCGCCGCCCAGGTGCTCATCGGAGCACCGGATCTCGAGACGACGAGGAAGGCTTTTGAGAGCAAAGGTTACAGCATCCACGTGAAACGCGAAGAGGACCAGCCGTTCTCCAACGGAGTGGGCGGCCGCATGCGACCCATTGCCAAGGCAGCGGTGCCGCTCTCCTTCTACAAGTGTGGCGCGCCGGAGTTTCTGGTTCTACCTCGCGCGAGTCTTCTTCTGATACTTGCCGGGTTTCCTGATTAATTTCGGAGCAGTTATTGACGCGGAGAGCAACGTGATCAAATTCGGGGAGTCTGGCGAGCACGAGATTCCGATGATCAAGCTTCCGTCGGGCCACAGGTCGGTCGCGCTGATAGGCAGGCCGTCGGCGGAATTCAAGCTGGGCCCTGCTCTCGAGGCGAAGTTCCCCAGCTTCGCCCGCGACAGGGAGAACGCGAGAGAGAGCACACGGATTACGAACCAGGGCGACGACAAGGACTACTGGGAGATACTTGATGACCGATGTCGTCTACATTATGTGCGACGCAGGAGAGAGCTCTTCGATCCGACCGCCGCCGCGAGCCTGCCAGTCGACCTGAAGGAGCTGGGGGGGCACCGGGCTGCGCGCTGCAAGTTCAGGGGTCAGCGCGACGCGTGTGTCGAACACTTCTACGAGCGCGAGTGGAGCGACTGCCAGGAGAAGATCAGCATACACGACTACTGAATAGGCTACTCCGATTCCTACCAGGCGAGCGCAGAAGGCCAGCCACCGGGTCTGCGCGAGGGGTGTCGCGCGACAGAGGTAGTGCAGATAGATCGCTTCAGTCAGTCTCCTCTCCTCCTCCCATTCTTTCTGAAGTTGGGGTCTGCGAAACCTCGTCTGGGGATCTGACAAGCCAAAGGGAGTTGCATCCCTCCTCCGTAGCCTACTACTACTGCTGCTACCTCTACTACTACTACTACTACTACTACTACTACTACTACTACTACTACTACTACTACGACTACTACTACTACTACTACTACTACTACTACTGCTGCTGCTGCTACTACTACTACTATCATTACTATTACTACTACTACTACTATTATTACTACTACTACTACTACTACTACTATTACCACCACCACTACTACTACTATTACTACTACTACTACTTCTACCACTACTGCTACTACTACTACTACTACTATCACTACTACTACTACTACTAGTACTTTTACTACGACTATGACTACTACTACTACTACGACACTATTACTACTACTACTACTGCTACTACTACTACTTTTACTACTGCTGCTACTACTACTACGACTACTACTACTACTACTACTTACTACTACTACTACTACCTACTACTACTACTAGTACTACTACTACTACTACTAGCTACTTACTACTACTACTACTGTACTACTAGTACTACTACTACTACTACTACTAGTAGTAGTAGTAGTGGTAGTAGTAGTAGTAGTAGTAGTACTACTACTACTACTAATACTACTAGTACTACTAATACTACTATTAGTACTACTACTACGACTACGACTACGACGACTACTACTACTACTACTTCTACTACTACTACTACTACTACTACTACTACAACAACACTACTACTACTACTACTACTACTACTACTACTACTACTACTACCACCACCACTACTATACTACTACTACTACTACTACTACTACTACTACTACTACTACTACTACTACTACTACTACTACTACTACTACTACTACTACTACTACTACTACTACTACTACTACTACTACTACTACTACTACTACTACTACTACTACTACTACTACTACTACTACTACTACTACACTACTACTACTACTACTACTACTACTACTACTACTACTACTACACCACCACCACCACCACCACCACACCACCACCACCACCACCACCCACTACTACGCCATCCTCTTTCCCCACCGCCCCCCCCCCCCCGAACTTTTTTTATCCCTGGCCTTTTGCTATCGCCGGAAACGGACCGCCATGAACTCTACACGCGTGATGTAGAACAAGGGTCAAACGACAAAGATACCCGAAAAGAAACCCACTCACAATCTTTGTAGGGCTGTAGGCTATAGGGATATTGGGCTATAGGGCGATGGGGCTTTGGGGCTATAGGGCTGTAGAACTATAGGGCTATAGGGCTGTAGGGCTATAGGTCTATAGGGATGTAGGGTTATAAGGCCAAGGAGCAATAAGGCTGTAGGGCTATAGGGCTCTGGGGCGATGGGTCTACAGGGCTATAGGGCCATAGGGCTATGAGTCTACAGTGCTATGGGCCTCTAGGGCTATAGGACAATAGGGCTATATGGCTATAGGGCTATAGGGCTATGGGGCTATATATATATACACGCATACAAATTCACACAGCTATGAGGTTACAGGTCTATGGGGCTATAAGAGGCTATGGGGCTATAGATGAATAGGGTTTTAGGGCGATAGGACTAAAGGGCTATATGGCCATAGGGGTAGAGGGCTAAAGGCTCTAGGGCTATTGGGCTATAGTGCTATATGGCTATTGGGCTATGGGGCTATAGAGTTATACGGCTATGCGGATATAGGGCTCTAGGGCTATAGGGCTATAAGTCACCCGGGCACCCTGGCGCGTGGGCACCTGGGCATTCAGGCACCCGGGCGCCCGGGCACCCGGGCGGGCCTCGGAAATCGGTGGCAAATGTCACCTGGCCATATGAGTCCGCTAGGACCCCTACAGAGGCAAGCTGTGATTGGTGATTAGGTTTTGCAACTAGATACGCAATGTCCCGAATTATTGTTTGGGGGAAGACTTGTCCTGGGGCCTCTTTCCTCTCCCACCCCTCCTCCCCAACCCTCCCCTTCTCTCTCCTTTCCCTTCCCTCCTTGTCATATATGTGGCAGGGCTAGGTCGTCGACGTTGTCGTCCTCTTTCCACGTCGTGCATCCCGCGCACGACTTGCTGGGGCAAATCGTATTTTACTGGACCCCGCACGACTTTCATGGGACCCCAAACTTTATGAACCGCGCGCGGGCGATAATAACACATACCCCCCTTAACCCCTTCTATTTTTAAATTCCCGTTCAATAAGATGTATTTGTGGAGAGGGTCGCGGAGGCCGAAGTTGATAATCCACGGGGGAAGTTGCGAATCGAACTTGCTATCATTTCATGTTGACTAGCAACAACAACAGAAACGCTGAGTATGGCCATGGTGGTCTCACCATACCAGCTTCCACAATCACGAGTGGTTCGAAGTCCAGCGCAATATAGGTTTCTTGGCCGTTCTTTCTTGCGCTGGCAAGCTGTAGCCACGAGCATCGAGATCTCTCGAGTCAGTCTTGTGCCGAGCGCCCAGGACCACCATCATCAGGATCATCGTAACCATCAGCATCTTCAGCACCATCATAACTTCTAACTATCACCACTTTCCCCGGGAACATCGTTGATTATTTAATCGCTTCGCTCGTTCCGCCGGCCCATATTGTCGCACCGTTGTGGGCTAGCCGAGTTTTGGGGCCTCTTGGGGGCTGTTTTGGGGCCTCTTGGGGCCTCTTTTGGGCCTCTTGGGCGCCTCTTGGGGCGTCTTGGGGCGTCTTGGGGGCCTCTTGGGGGCCTCTTTTGGCCTTTTTGGGGCCTCCTGGGCGCCTTCTGGGGCGGAGGGCTCGATTTTTCAGTTCTCGGTTCCCCTCTTGAGCCCCTCTTGGGCCCGTCTTGGGGCCTCTTGGTCCGTCTTGGGCGGCACTTGGGCCGTCTTGGGGGCCCTCCTGGGCCGTTCCGGGGCCGTCTTGGGAGCCTCGTGGGCCGTCTTGGAGCGGTCTTGGGGGCCTCTTGGGCCGTCTTGGAGCGTCCGGAAGCCGAAAAAGCCAGAACGCAAAAAACATAGAAAAAAACAATGAAAATCAACGATTTTGGCCTCTTGGGGCCCTCTTCGGAGGCCTCTTGGAAGGCCCTTGGGGCGTCTTGGAGGCCTCTTGGGCTGTCTTGGGGCCCTGTTGGGCGTCTTCGGGCGATCTTTGGCCGTCTCGGGGCCCTCTTGGACCGTCTTGGAGGCTTCTTGGGGACCTCTTGGCCCGTCCTGGGGCCCTGTAACAGAACTCCGGCATCTCTGACCCGACCTTGCCGGGGACTTGCCGGGGACTTGCCGGGACCTTGCCAGGGTACTTTTCGTCCGGGGACCCCCAGGGGCCGCCCCGCGCGCGCGAACTAGAAATACTGTTAACCAAGTACCAGAGATCTTAGCACGCCCTGGCCCGTTGGGCCGGCGAAATTATCCCCGCCAGACCCCCGAACTTTATTATCTACGGGGAATTCGTATCTGCCGCGCTGGGTTATCCCCCGGGAGTTATTATGAGGGGCGCATGGTTCGGGCCCGTTGGAGGGCCTCTCGTCGTGCATTAGTAGATATGCTGCTGGATGTTTCCGGCGCGCTGGGATCATTATCCACACCTTCTGCGTCCATTGCGTAAGCTGCTTGTGAGTGTCGGTACGTCGGAAGTGTGTAGTCGTTGTGATGTGGGAAGGCGATACCGTCACGCAGCTGTACCATGGGCGATTATTGATACACTGTGTCCAGCCTGCTCCTGGGCGTCGCCGTCATTGAGATTACTTGATCGTCCTTTCCAAACCATCCACAAGCTGCAAAAAGCTGTGGTTTCAACACACCCCGTGTTTTGGTTTGTCGTAAAAGAGCAAGGCACAGGTGGTGCGCAGTCAAGAATATTGTGGGGGGTTCGATGCAGAGTCGGCAACTCCTGTGCAGGTGCTTTCCTGGCGCGCGCAGTACTTCTGATTTGTGTGGTAGTCTTCCGTTCCACGCTGTGGTATCGACCGTATTTTTGGCAAGGTGCGATGGTCGCATCTTGCCCTTCTAAATCAACAAGCTCACTCGAATACTCCCTGCAGCCTGCTCCTCTTCTGGGCCGTGGGGGCGCTTCTGTTCGGTTCTGTTCTGGTCTGTTCCTCAGCAGGAAGAAGGGAGGAGAGGAAGGATTGGAGTGCGGGGGGAAGTACCTCACTGCGCTGCCATCGGCTTGGGCCCCCCTGGCCATCGTTATCGTCAAGGAGCGGCACGCGGAGGGCTTACAGGAGGCGCCTGGGTTCGTCCACAACTCCTCACTGGAGTTCAAAGCACGTGCTAGTGCCTTCCTCTCATGTTCCCCGTGCCTCATCATTCTCTTGGGCTGGCCCTCGTTGGCTTTTCGGTTGTCCTTCCTGTCTGCTTCTCTCCCCCGATCCAGGATGATCTCAGCAGCCATGTGCGTGGTGGTGTTGGAACTACCAGCAGCGAAAGTGTTACCGTTTGCTGTAACCGTGACAGAAGGGGTGAAAGTAGCAGTACAGTTGGCAGTGCGAAGCGGTAACCTTCATGGCAACGCCAATGTTACGATCAACAGCAGTAATGGGATGCCAATGGCAAATGTGACAGTCGCCATGATCACAGGGCAGCGGCATTAGATGCACCTGCAGCTCGGCAGGGTCACCCGTGCGGGCGGGCAAGCAAGGAAGGCAAGCAAGGAAGGCTTGCAGAGGCTAGCAGCCACAATCGGCATGAAGGAAGGGGGTCCTGAGGGAGTCGGATCCTTGACTCCTATATGGGTCCCAATGTTTTCCCCAGCGCCAGTTCTTCATGCAGAGTTGTGGTCGACGGCCCCGGCGCCCGTGGAGGGGCCCGTGGGCCCGAAGACGACGAACTGTTTGCAGGGCTTCTTTCCTCCAGGACCCGTTTCCCCCGCGCTAGAGATGCAGGCGAACAAGGCAAATGGGCAGGTTGGCAGGCAGGTCGTAACAACGACAAGAGGCTGGCGGGCGCTCAGGCTGATTGCAACGATCAACATATCGGCGGCGGCAGGCAGGTTTCCCCCCCAGATTTCAGCCCCTGGCCTGCTGAGATGGCCGCTGCTTCTGATCTTACCGTGTCTCTTCTTCCCCAATGTCGCTGGAGCGGGAGGACGAGGAGGAGGAGGAGGAGGAGGAGGAGGAATAGGAGGGGGAGGGGGAGGGGGAGGGGGACGGAGGTGGAGGAGGAGATGGAGGAGGAGCAGGATGATGATGATGATGATGATGATGATGATGATGATGATGATGATGATGATGATGATGATGATGATGATGATGCTGATGCTGATGATGCTGATGCTGATGATGATGCTGATGCTGATGCTGATGCTGCTGATGATGATGCTGCTGCTGATGATGATGATGATGATGATGATGATGCTGATGCTGATGCTGATGCTGATGCTGATGCTGATGCTGATGCTGCTGCTGCTGCTGATGGTGATGGTGATGGTGATGATGATGATGATGATGATGATGATGATGATGATGATGATGATGATGATGATGATGATGATGATGATGATGAGGATGATGATGATGCTGAATATGATGTTCATGATGAGGAGGAGGAGGAGGAGTTGGAGGAGGAGACTCACAGGAGGGCATGATGACAGATTATTGGGCGGTCATGGGTTTTTGGGTTTTACATTTTTTGGTGGTGCGTGCGGGGGTGCACGTCGAGCATGTCATTACGACGAGGATCCTGATGATCGGGAAAACGTGCTGCGCACGATGCAAACAGCCCGATGTGGCAACGGATTGTTTCGAGGCATCGGTCCCCCTGGCCTCCCCCCACAACCCCCTTCGTCGCACTCCCATCCCCCTTTCCGCTGTCGTCCTGCCCTTTCGCCGCCACGCTCCTCCACCATCCCCCTCCGCCCCCCTTCCCCTATTCCCTCTTCCCTTTCCCTCTCTTTCCATGTCTCCTTCCCGCCTCCTCCGCTCCCCTTGCCCGCCCCCCCCTCTGCTCCCGCAGCCTTCCTCCCTGACCTCCGCCGATCTGGTTCTTTCAATCCGCGGCCCCAGAGGTCCCGACAGCTTCCTCGGGGAGCCCAGGGCTCGATAACTCGCCGAGCGCGTTCCACTACTCGCAAAGTGCCTACTCGCAAACGTCCGAGAAACACATGACTGCTTTGATGTAATTTATCCTAGATCCCCCGCGGGGGATCCAGGCCATTTGCGAGCAGTTGCTGTGCGAGTAGTGGAACGCGCTCGTCGAATAACGGGCCCCCGTGGCCCAGAGCGAGGAAACACCACAGGCTGAAAAAGTCATGCCGTCGGAGCTCTCCCCGCCGCTCCCGACGCAGGCCTCCGCCGCCGGCCTCTTCCGCTTCCCCCTCCTCCTCCTCCTCCTCCTCCTCCTCCTCCTCCTCCTCCTCCTCCTCCTCTCTCCTCCTCCTCCTCCCCTCTCCCTCCTCCTCCTCCTCCCCTTCCCCTCCCCTCTCTCCTCCTCCCTCCTCTCCTCCCTCCTCCTCCTCCTCCTCCTCCTCCTCCTCCTCCTCCTCCTCCTCGCCCCCAGGTGCGATTCGGATCCGAGGGCGAGCCCGGCTGCATGTTTTTTGCCGAGCTGGCGCCGGACGTGGGTCGGGGCTGCTGCAGCATCGTGCGAGTGGCCGGCGCCGGCCCCTCGGGGGGGACGAGTCGGGCGTTCCCTTAGGCGACGGGGGGGCCCAGGGAGGGTCCGGGTCCATTTTCGATCCGGTCGATCCGATATCGAGTCCAGCGGGCCCGATCCGACACGATTCGGGCTTTCCGTCGATCCGATGCGGCCCCACGGTTGCGTGGCGCTGTTCTGCATCTTCGCGCGGCCGATCCGATGCGACTCCGGCTCCGTGCCGACGCGGCCCGATCCGGCTTACATGTCGATTCGATCCGATTTTCCGATTCGACGTTGATTGATCCTTGTGGTGGCAGGAGGTCGCATGCCGCTTCTTTCGGGCGGAGGGATAATTTGAAGTTCGAGTTCAGAACCAAGGACAGCAAGATTTCGAAACGAGTTCGAAAGTTCAGTGAGAACTCCAACACGGTCAACTTTTTGACAGAGCTTGCAGCAATTTTTCTTTAACGTTTGAAGCAGATGTGCGAATTCCACATTTTGAAAACAACCCGCCCTCAATCCGCAAAGCTCTCATATCTTCTTAAAACGAATACGCGCGGCGCTAAGGCGATAACCACATGTTGAACATGGTCCTCGCATAATCCGTGAAGCTCTCGCAAATCTTTGAAACGAATGTGCGCGGCGCAAAGGCGAGGGCCACATTTTGAACACCACCCGCTCCCAATCCGTGAAGGTCACGCAAATGTTTGAAAACAAATGTGCGCGGCGCGAAAGCGAGAGCAACATTTTGAAAGCCACCCGCTCTCCATCCAGTTTTAAGTTTGAGGTTCGTAAGCGGTAAGGAAGTCTCAGGCGAAACGCCTGGCCCGCCCTTCCGGCTGGCCTCGGGGTAAGACTGGGAAGAGTGATTCATAAGGAAAAGGAATGGACAAGGAGGAGGAAGAGAATGAGGATGAGGATCATGATGATGATGATGATGATGATGATGATGATGATGATGATGATGATGATGATGATGATGATGATGATGATGATGATGATGATGATGATGATGATGAGGAGGAGGAGGAGGAGGAGGAGGAGGAGGAGGAGGAGGAGGAGGAGGGTGGTGGTGGGAATCCTCGGCGGATGCCCGCCTGCTGCGCGCCTGGCCGACCCCGCAGTGGTTGCGTCGGGTCAGGCCGGATGCCCACCACCAGTGGCTGTTCTGCAGGGCGGGCCTGGACGTTGCGTCCCAGGACTGGGACGGCGAATTCGTGACGGGGCTGCAGCTTCAAACAAAAACTCGGCGGCGGGCGCGGGGGGGAAATGAGAAGGGGCGGGGCTTCCGAGGCTTCTGAGAAGTTTCTGGACTTCTGAGAGGGCTTCTGAGAAGTTCTGTCTGTATTCGAAATAGGCCAAGGAAACGTCTCAGAAGCCCCCCGGACTTCTAAGAAGTCCCGCGGCCTTCTGAGAAGGCCTTCTCCTTCTCATTTCCCCCCTGGGCTCGTCGCCTAAAAACGACCCTTCCACCGTGATCGGGGCCTGCCGGGTCGGACGAAGGCGGAGGCTCGGGCGTCTGCGTCGGTCCTCGGCGGTTCTCCGGCCTCGGGGATGTCTTCCAGCGGCTTGCGCCTCGCGGGGAGCGTTCCGGGGGTGCTTGGATCGTCCCGAACGGCCGACGGTGGCCTGGTAATCGTATGCCCCAGAAGCCATGCGACGAGGATCGTTTGGGGCGGACGACGTTGAATGGTTCAGAAAGGGGGGTAACTAGTGCACCGTAGGTGAGCGGAAGCCAAAGTAGATCAGATTCACCAGGGGCTGCGAAATCGCCCGAAAGAAAGAGAGGGGGGTGACGAAAACTGCTGCATGCAGCCGGTTTTGATCTCGTTGCCTGGTGCACTCCTCGATACATGGGCGCCCACTGCGCCACGTGAGCTGACTCCCTGATGAGCCCCACCCCTGCTGTTCCCGCTTTCGTCCGCGCCCGCTCGTGCCAAGCTTGGAGGGGCTCGATGTTGACACCACGTCGCTTGGTCGGCCAGGGAGCCCAAGAGGTCGGCGTCGGAATTCGGTGTATGAACGCTTCAGCGTGGCACAGGTTGGGCAGCTGGGGCGTCCAAAAACCGAGCTCCTTGGCCGACCAAATGACGTCGTGTATATACATGCAGGCCGCTTCCACTGGGGCGGAGCCCGCCACTGGGGAGGAGCCCGCCCGCACACAGGATTTCGTTTTAGTCAGCAGTCGTCGAGGCAGGGCAGGCGATGCCGCTTGCTCGGTCATCGCCAGGCGCTGTCGGCGAGCAGGAGCAAGGGGAGACGGAGCAGGAGGAGATTTGAGTCTCGACGCGAGTGCGGGCACTTCAGCCATGGAGGGAGGAGTAGGGAGGAGAGCCCGCGTCTCTTTCTCTCTCACTCCCCCGTTCTCATCCCCGTCCATCCCTCCCTCTTCCCTCCTACCCCTCGCCCGCATGGCCTGGCCTCACCCTTGCGAGTTCCCCTGCCAGGTGACGTATGGCCTCCGGCGTGCGTAAGTGGGGCAGCTCGGGGTCGCGTCGCCGTGGCCCTGTGGCAGTTGGCGCCGGGCTCGCGCACGAGCGCGACGAATGGAACTCGGACGCCGCAAAACACTCCGGGTTGCTGCGTCTTCGCGTGCCATTGCCGTCGTGTCGTGGGCATCATATTGTGTATGCGCCCTGTCTGCTCTCTCGGACAACGCAAACAAGATACACAGAATTTCTCGAAAGTCCGCGTGGATTCCTTGGAATGGCCATGGGCCCCCCAGGGCCCCTGTCGGCACCCCCGCGCGCCAGGGATGTGGGTCCAGCGCCGATCCGAGAGTCCGTGCGGACCTCAGAAATTATGTTTGCAGCTGTTATGTTTCTTTACTTGGGCATTGTTTTTTTTGTTGTTGAATATTTTCGTCTCGCGCATCCCTGGATTACGTAATGCAATGCTTGCAGACGGTGTGCCGGGTCTGACCGTCGGCTCCTTTTCTGGTCTCCGTTCTGTTTGGTCCAACCGCGCCCCGTCTTCCCCTTTATCTGCCACTCTTGCGAGCCTTTCCTTTCCCACCTTTCCCCTTGTAGGGGAAACACAGTCCCTCTCCATGCTCCTTCCCCTACCTGTCTGCTCCTCATCTTCCCGAGTGCCTGGCAATGACGATTGAAGGGGTCGTCGTGTCGTCTCTACTTTGTGTGCAAGAGCTTCGGTGGTTGCGCCGCCTCTCCAATAAGCGCCGCACATACATTTCCCGCTTTCGATCCAGCTCCGCCTCCTCCTCCTCCTCCTCCTCCTCACACTACTGCTCCTAGTCCTGCTCCTTCTCCTCACCTTCATCCTTATTCTGGGTGTCTCTCTCTCTCTCTCTCTCGTTCTCTTTTTTGTTTTTCCTCTCTCTCTCTCTTTCTCTTTCTGCACGTGTATGTGTGCATAGACATACGCATAGCAGTGAGAGCCTTTTGCCCCGAGTTGGTCTGACTCGGTCGTGCGGTATGCTCGGACGCAGGTGAGGCTCCAGGCAGAAGGGGGCGCACAGGCGCCCTCCCCCCCCTCTCGGGCCGGACGAGAAGGGGTGGTGCTGGGGAGAGGCCCTCCGGGCGCTCTCGTCGCCCCCTCGGCGGTTCTCCAGCCTCGGTCCCCGTTGTTCGACGAAAGGATGGATGGCCGACCCGGCGGTTTTTTGCTTCCTCGCTTTGGCCCTCCGCGGCCCGTTGTCGGGCCCCAGGCCCTGGGGGGAGGGGGTCGGGACCTGATGGGCGGCGCACGGAAGATCACACCGTCGGATGTCTGGGGGATGTTTTCCAGTCTCCTGCGCCTCGCCCGGGAGCGCTCCAGGGGTGCCCAGACCGTCCCGAACGGCCGCAGGCGGCCCGAGGTGTGACCCGAATGCGGGGCGACGAGGACCATTCGGGGCGGACGGTGGGGAAGGATTGAGAAACCGCTCTCGGCCCGCTTGGCGCTCTCCTCGACTGCATGCGGCCGCCTCCCTGCGCACCTGGGAGGCGGCGGGCAGACCGTCTGCGGGAGTTGATTTTCGGCGGGTCGAAGAGGTGGCCCAGAGAGATTCTCGGCCTCCCAGATTGGGTCGAAGTAGATGGAGTCGAGGGATCGCGCCGCATCGCCGATGCATTGGCGATGCGGCTTGATGTGGAGCCCGATTTTCTCCACGCCGACGGCGCCGATAAATCGCCGATGTAACAGCGATGCATCGGGGATCCTCCGACCCCATTTGGGAGGCCTCCTGAGATGGGGCTCTGCGGATAGGGATGGTTCCCAGGCTGAAGTTGCACTGTCTGAGGCCCGTCGCCCTCAGGGCCCCGTCCCTCAGGGCCCCATTGTTGAGCCGCCGAGATTCGCTAGACCCCACTCCCAAGACATCCGATACCGTGATTTTTGCCCAAGAATCCTGTGGTGTTGGGTTCTCGTGTTGAAGAGACGGCGCCCCGCGTCTCCTCCCTTTCCTCCCGCTGCCCTCCCGCCCCCCATCCTTGCCTCTGCCCTCCGTTTGTATCTGATTCGGCACACTCCTCACACGTTTCGTGGCCCCATAATGAAGCGCCGCCGAAGGCACAAGTGGCTGCGTTCGCATGGCGGCACCGCGCCACTTTCGGCCAACCCTTCACCCGCTTCGTGGCCCCATACACAGCTCCACCGAAACCCCCAGTGGCTCTGTTCGCATCGCGCCAATGCGCCCATGTCGGCGCACCTCTCACACGTTTCGTGGCTCCCAAACAGAGCTCCACCGACGGCCCCGGTGGCTGCGTCCGCATGGCACTACCCAACCCAATTCGGCACACTCCTAGTGCGCATTTCGTTGCCCCATAGGGAGCTCCACCGAAGGCCCAAGCGGCTGGGCTCGCATGGCGCAACCGCGCCCAGTTTGGCACACCAATCGCGCGCTTTGTGAACCCACATGTGCCCATTGCGGCACACCCCTCGCGCATTTCGTGGCCCCATACGGGGGTCCCACCGCAGGCCCCACCGGCTGCGTTCGCGTGGCACCGCCGCGCCCATTTTGGCAGGTGTCGTCGCCCCAGACGGAGCTGCACCGAAGGACCCAGCGGCTGCGTTCGCATGGCGCCAGCGGGCCAATGTCGGCATTCCCCCCACAAGCACTTCGTGGCTTCATAGAAGGGCCCCACCGAAGGCCTCAGTGGCGAAGGTCATGTCGGCACGTTTCTCACAGGTTTCGTGGCCCATAAAGAACTCCACCGAAGGCCCCAGTGCTTGCGCTTGGCGCCACCGCGCCGATTTCGGCACACACACGCACACAAACACACCTCACTCGCTTCGTGGCCGCCAGAGGGAGCTCCATCGAACGCGGTGCGCACGACGTGGCATTCACAACAGCATATTATAAGGTTGGTCCATAGCTCGTATAACTTCAATATTGGGTCACCCGAAGATCAGACTTTTTCTCAATGTCTGGTTATTCGTCCTGGGTCGATTATGGGCGGTGCCAGGGCCCGGCCAGGGCCCCCAGAGGCCGAGCACGATTGATATTTTGTGTGTGTGTGTGTGTCTGCTATTCCCTCCCTCTGATGTCAGACGAATTTGTTATTTTCCCAACCATCCTGCGGTGTTCGGTCCTTGTTCGCTTCCGATCCTTTCCTCTTCCCCCTGCTCCCTGCTCGCCTTGCCGCCCCCCCCCCCCCGCGTGCCACTCATGGCGCGCCCTTCGCGCGTCCCTGCGTGGGGGCTCCACCAAAAGCCTTAGTGGCTGCGCCTGCATGCCGCCGCCGCGTCCAGTTCAGCCGTTCCCCTCTTCCCCCCCCGCCCGCGCGCGCGCGCTCTGAGGTCGGTGTCGCAGAGTCGCCTCGGGCGCGGTCGGCAGGTGGAGCCGAACGGATTCGGTGCAAAACACCCAGACCAGGCCGCGCAGATAGGCGGTGAAAAGCATGGGGCGGTGTAAAGCCAAAGCGCAGCGACCTGCAACGCGAGGGGCATATCGTTCGACTCGCGTAGGTCAGCAACAGCCTGGTGCTAATTTGCGTTGCGCCACTGAATCATCGGGGCGAGGTTAGACAGCGCAGACAAAAGACATACAAACCGCACGCACGCAACCACGCGCGCCAACGCGCGCCCGCGCACCCGCGCGCGCGCGCGCCCGCGCCCGCGCCCGCGCCCGCGCGCGCAGGCGCGCGCGGGCGCGCGAGCACGCGCGCACAAATTCACAAACGCACAAACGCGCAAGCGCACGAACGCACAAACGCATGGGCGCGGGTGCGCGCGACAGCCCAACGCACACAAACACATGAACACGCGAACACACATGTGCGCGCCCGCGCGGTCGCGCAGACGCGCGAACGCAAGGGCGCAAACGCAGACGCGCGCAGACGCGAAAACGCAAGCACGCGCACACACGCGACCACACGCGCACAAACACACGCGCAGACGCGCGCGCGAACACCCATACACACAAGCACGCAACCACTCGAGCACGCGAGCGTACGCGCGCGCCAACGCGCGCCCACGCACCCACGCGCGCGCGCGAGCGCGCGCGCCCCCGCGCCCGCGCCCACGCCCGCGCCCGCGCCCGCGCCCGCGCGCGCGCAGACGCGCGCGGGCGCACGAGCACGCGCGCACAGATGCACAAACGCACGAACGCGCAAGCACACGAACGCACAAACGCACGGGCGCGGGAACGCGCGACTGCCCCAACGCACAAACACATAAACACGCAAACACACATGCGCACGCGCGCGCGGTCGCGCAGACGCGCGAACGCACGGGCGCAAACGCGCAGACGCGCGCAGACGCGAACGCGCAAGCACACGGACAACGCGCGACCACACGCACAAACACACGCGCAGACGCGCGCGCGAACACCCAAACACACAAGCACGCAACCACTCGCGCACGCGACCGCACGCACGCACCAACGCATAGGCGCGCATGCGCACGGGCGCGCAAGCGCACGAACGCACAACAACGCGCACACCAAAAAACCACGCGCGCAATCAAACGCAGAAGCGCACAAACACACGACCACAATCGCGCGCAACCGCATGCTCGCGAACGCACTCGTTGCAACCACGCAGATGCACAGGCGCGCAAACATACAAACACACATGCGCACGACCGCGCAACCGCGCAGAAGCACAGACGCACAGGCACGCTCGCGCCCAAACGCAAGCGCACGCAACCGCGCGAACACGCAAACGCACAATGACACAAGCACGCGCGCGCAAGCAAGAAACAAGCGGCCGAACAGACGCACGAACACATAGACGCAACGGCGCAACGACGTATGCCAGCGCGCACAACCGTGCGCGCACGCACAACCGCGCAGGTGCGCAACCACGCAAACGCACGAACGCACGCGCAAACATGTCACGCACGCGCAAAAGCGACACACATACGCACTAACACACAACGCGCGCATGCGCACAACCACGCGACCGCAAGAACACATAGACGCACAAACGCGCAAACACGCAACCACGCAAAGGCACGCGCGCGCAAATTCACTGACGACCAGGCACGCGTGCACACGCAAAGACACGACCACACAAACACACGCAAACGCGCAAACGACGACTGCCCACGCACCAACGCACAACCACACAATCACGCGACACACAAACACAAACGCACACATTCACGAACACGCGAACACAAAAACGCACGAACGC